CCTCTGGATGGTATCCCTTCCCTCCAGTGCATCCACTGCCAGCTTCCTCAGGACCCACGGGTGAATCTCATCAGGTCCCATGGACTTATGCACATTCAGGGTTCCTTAGATGGTCTCAAACCTCAACCATAAATGGTCACCCATTCGTGACTGGTGTTTCCTTTCTAAAAGAATCTACCCATTGTCTTGAATGAGGCAGCATATGCTATGAAGAAAGATTCCTGTGAGGATGGAGATGGTTTGAAAGGCATCTTTCATATTTCTGAATCAGCAAGAGAAGAGAGAAGGTTACTGAAGGGATTGAGTTTGTGGTTTGCGAAGGTGAAAGACTGAAGTAATGGGATCTTTTCTGGATTTGATAGTAAATTGTGGAAGAACTGTAATTTTTAGTAGGTTGTTGAACTAGAAATAGGAACTTATTTAGACCTACTTCAACTGTCTTCTGCTTGTTTAGTCACCTCTAAAGACAGGAAGGTATTAGGGTGGAAGAGCTTCCCCCTCTATTTTGAACAAACACTCTGAGTTCAATTGGGTTGCAAAATCAGAGACCCTTGGAAATCTAGACCTGAAAAACTTTTCCTAAATTTAATTTTGTGGAGGAAGCCTATATTGCTTCTGTTCTATACCATTTCCCATTTGTGTCTATTCTTTTCCCTTCTTCTGCTGTACTCAGTTTGATGTTTAGGGATTTGAGATGCTTAAAGTTGTTACTTTCTGCCTTTCTCATTGTTCAGTTGTGGAATCTCCTCAGTTTCCTAATTTGTTCAGTTAACACAGCTTCAAGGTACAGTTGGTGTTTAAGGTTCATCTTCTACAGATTGTATTCACTAGTGTCACTTGTTGGAGTTCCACTAAGTTTTTAGGGACCGAATTCTTTTGATTCCACTTCTCTGTCACCACACTTGGGCAAAAGCTCCTGAAGTTCCTGTGCATCTGTGAGAGCTTTCCCTGACTTTTCAAATACCCTGCTTGCAGGTGTGTTTATAGCTATAAACCCTCAGTCATACTAAGGTTGCTGCCACTCTAGGACTCTTTTGTAAAATCACACCTTCATGTCCTTCATGTGTTGGTCAGCAGGGTTTTTTCCATGTCCTCATTGCGGGAATTGCTGTGAAGAGCACACCTTTGGCAGTGTTACATTAGGTCGCTGGAGCTGATGTTTTAATGTCTGAAATAGCTTTATCTGTTGAGTTTTTATGTAACTGTAGACCAATTTTGCAGGAATTTCTGTTAACTGTATAAAATCTTTTCCAGGAGGAAATCCCATGGCTGTGGTCAGCAAACAAGTGAATATGGAATTGGCAAAGATCAAACAAAAATGCCCACTTTATGAAGCAAATGGACAAGCTGTAAGTCTGATCCTGTTTTCATGAGCCTTTTAAAAAGAAGTATATCTTAAGTGTATTTGTTACCAGGCTATTGGTCTTGCAGGAGATGGCTTCCAAGGAGAGGGAAGAACAAGTGTGTCTCCCTTTCTAGGCATTGTAGTAATATGCTAGTATATCTGCACATATTCTTCTAAAACCTGCTCTTTCCACATGAGTTTTTACCTTTACATTCCAGAGGTTTTGTGTAAGCCAAGTTCCTGTTTGTTCTTCCCAAATCCATTCTGTTTTTCCTTAGACAGTTGTCTGTCTCTCTCTTTGAAGCAATTACCTGCTATGCTGGCACTCGAGGTTCTGTTGTTGTTGCTGCTACTCCTTTTCCCTGAAATAAGCTTGTTCTGGCTGTTGTACTTTTGATGCTGCTTTTTGAAGACTTGACTAGCCAATGCCAGCTGGTTGAATGCATGCAGCAATAACAATCTATTATTATTGTGCTGTGATTCACAAACTTAATTAGCCTTATTTCTTTCTGCTCTAATGTCAAGGAATGCTGTTAGAGATAGAAATGATAGATCTTAGTGTAGTGCTGAATCTCATACATGTATTGTCTAGAAGTGTCCTGATGGATCTGAAATCATGGTACAAAGAGTAACTTCTGGAAGAAGACAGGTGAGGATGTTGGGCATCCTGCTGGTGGCCTGGAAAAGTGATCCTTGGCTCCAACCTGTTTCTAACCTGGAACCTGCAGCTCCTCTTACTGCGCGTGAGTCAATAGGTAGTAATAGGCTCAGGGAAAGCTAGCAAAGGCATTGGATTTAGTTCTACAGTACTGCTCAGATCTGCTCCTGTGTTGTGAAGCCAGTCCTGTGCTGGTCTCTGCACTGCTGCGTTCCCTGTCTCACAATTTCAGTTTCTGCCCAAGGAATGCCTCAGTGTTGCAGATGAACGTATCCCTGTGCTACTGGGACTCCCTCTGTTAACACCACCCACCCACTTAGACACAGGTCAGCTTCAGACCATGCTTTGGTTGGCTCAGTACACACTGTGATATGTGCAGCCTGACCCTGCAGCTTTCTTTGCTGTAGCCCAATGCTTTCTGTTCCCCCGTAGGCAGCAACTGGATCAGTTCTATCCAGCTATGCCCCTCAGGCATAGGGAGTTCCTGTGGACCAGGAATTTCTCTTGCTCATCAGCTAGGCACTTACTCCAGTGGGAGTGGAGTGTTTTTCTGAAAAAGAATATTCTTCTTGATTACTCTCATGTTTCCTGTACTGCATTCGAGTGTTGTTGATCCCAGGAGACCCAGTCAGGATGGAGACTGGCAGTGAGGCTGCCAAGCCCTGCTGTGGGGAGGAATCCCTCAGCACAGAAAAGGGTCTTAGTGCTCCTTCGGGTGAGCTAGTGGGACAGGTTACATCACCTCCCATGTTCAAAGGTAGTTGCTTCTCTTCAGATGTGGTCCCGTATTAGCGTGGTGACAGGAAGCTCATTTTTAAGAGGCACGTCACAAAATCTGTCAGCTTACCTATTGTAAACAAAGCTTGATATGTAAAACTGGATATATGTTCCAGACTGAATTTTATCACTTCCTTGTGTTGAATGTTGTCTTGGCGCCTACATAATGAACCAACCTGCTCTTCCTTGGTTTAAAAACAAAAAAAAAAAAAATCAGTAATTAAATCAGATTGCCTCTGTGTGCTGCTTGTTTCCTAGCATGGCTGCCTTGCCAACTTTAGAATATTTGACTAAACTATCTGATTTGAAGCCATTTTTACTATGCCAGATGATCAGGGAGAGAAACTGTGGTGTGAATAATAATCAACTTTTTATTCTTCTGCCACCCAGATACTGAATGGCACAGAATCAATGTTATTTTGGTATTTGTGGTATCTGCATCTGTGATTAAAAGAAAATTTGTATTTGCTTGGTCAGATTTCGTGCAGTTTTGCCATGAAAGCTGTGTGCTTTGACTTGTGTTGCTCATTTTGTCTTTATTAATATACTCCATGGTGCTGCTGCCCTGTGGAGACTCTGTGGAGGGCCTCCATTCAACCTTAAGGCCATGCTTAGTAGTAGCAAGTCCTGTTTTTCACAGTCTTCTCCTTGGGACATACACTAAGGCATGGCCCACAAAGACGGGCTTTTACATAAGACAGCAGCTGTAGCATCATTGTGCCTGTCTGCAGGGTCTTCTCTTCAGAAGCAGAATCACTTATCTATGGATTGACTGTAAGAAAGTATTCTAGAAACCACGTCATTTAAATTAGGCCTTTTCATTTCCAGCTTTTTCTTTTTTATCATTAAAAAACTCAGAAGGTCACAGTAGTGCAGACCCATGCTGTTAAAGCAGATCCTGGTGTTCAGGTGTGGTATTGGAATGCCAAGGTCAGCAGTGGGTGTATCACAGTGTTCCAGGGAGAGTTTGAAGAGATGCCAAAATGGAAACCAAAACACTGTTGAAAGCTCAAAAAAATCCAATATTTATTACAAAGAAGTGGTCAACTGTTGTGGTTTTGCGCTGCGTCAATTTTTCTCACCCCCCACACAATTACTATAAGTTGAGAGAAGGTTCATGCAGGCAAAAGAGAGTTGATTGAGGAAAAAATAATATTAACATTTATTATTAACAAAATAAAACTAAATAACTATATCCACAACAATTCTACTTAAGTAAAAGTGCTATGTATTTACAGAAATACCTCTTCCCCCTTTTATCAGTCCAAGGAGGAAAAGTAGTCTCATTTTCCATTCTCGGAGCTCCAGGTCATGGATCTTCACCACAGGGTCACAGGGGATAATGGCTTTTGAGTCCACCCCTGTTTCTTGTGGAGGTCCCTCCCCACGGGAGAACACTCCTTGATAGACCTCTCCAACGTGGGTCTAGCATGGATCCCTCACTTGGATCCCAACATCTTACCCGAGCCGTTCTCGTTCCGGCATAAGTTTCATCTCTCTTAGGGTCACAAATTTCCAGCAGCAGCATGGATCCCACACACGGATCCCAACATCCCACCCAGGCCATCTCGCTCCAGTGTAGGTTTCTCTCAAGGTCACAAATTTTCAACAGGACTCTGCCTTGCCTCAGGTCTCTCATAAAGTCTCAACTTTCTCATGCATCCACTTCCTCCAGTGTGGACTCTTCCACGAGCAGCGTGGGAGTCTCCTCACTCCAACAATTTTTCAAAGGTAGCAGGGATTTATTTTTCAGTCTTTTCCCTGCTGAAGGGAGAGAGTGAAAGGGGGGGAGAAACAGACCCCCCCTTCAGACTTCTCTCTCCTGCTGCAACTTTGGCCTTGAACACCATGTTATCTCTCTGCCAGAATTCTTCTACAGTGGTTTTCATCCAAGCAGTCAGTCCTCTAAAGTTTTTGGTTTTTTTTACTCTCTTACATGAGAGAAGGGGGGCTTCAGTGCCCCACCTGGCTGGGGGAGGAGGGAGGCCTGGCCCCCACTTGGGGCCTGCCGCCTCTCCTACATGGCTACTGCTACCAATGTCAACTGTGCAACCACCTTCTTTTCTGTTTCTTAAATATGTAATTGGCAAAAGCGTTACTGGAACTTTTGATTAGGCTTTTTCTCTGGAAATCCACCTGGACAAAACCATCCTCAGCCCCAGGGTATTTTTTTCTCCTCATGCTGCTCTTTCTCTTCATTAGTGTTTTCTCTCTATCCTTTGTTTAACAGATGTGAGGTTTACTCTTTCCAGCACATGAATTCTCATCATCTAGCTGATATTTCCACACTGGCAGCACACGCTGTTTAACTGATTATCACTAGTACAGTCAAATACCATCATTCTGGAAGAGTCCTGCTTCCTTCATTGTCGTAGAAAATCTGGATTGGTAGTTCTTAGTCACACTGACCACTCCAAAAGATAAATTACAGCCTATCTACTTCACTGAGCTATGCCAAGCCCTGTAAAGACTTGTGATTGTGTAGAGCCATCCTACCATCAGAGTGGTCTTTTGGCAAGCTTTTGTATCTTTGATGAACACACCTTCCTTCCAATAAGGAAATCTTTGTGAACCCATAAGTTGGTTTAGTTTCCCCTTACAAGAGAAGTCTGTTGTCAGGGTGGTTTGACCCTGTGGTCAAACTTTTGACAAAGTGACATTGTATTGTACAGACCTTGGTGTCTGACCATTTGAGAGAGTGGAGGTTATTAAATTTCTCTTTACAAGGGCTAGTCTCAGTAACTGTGTTATTTATTAATAAATTAAGAATGTTTGTTCTTTTGTCTCCTAGGTTCCCAAAGAGAAAGATGAAATGGTGGAGCAAGAATTTAACCGTCTTCTGGAAGCCACATCCTATCTCAGTCATCAGCTGGATTTTAATGTTCTCAATAATAAACCTGTCTCTCTAGGTCAGGCTCTGGAGGTTGTCATACAGTAAGTGACTTCTCTCTTTGTGGTAGACTTTCCTGTTTTGTGAATGAATTTCCAAAAATGCCTGAAACAACTGTGATGCTCCTAGGATAAGCATTACCCTCTAAATACAGCTGGTGGATATCAGCTGAGCTTGTTTGCATATGTGTTTCTTGTTTATTGAAGAAAAATATGCCACAGAGCAAACCTCTCTTCTTGAAAGTGTCCTGAAAATCATTGCTACAGTGATGAATAGTGGATACTTGACTCAGTGTGCATACAGCCCACTTACACTACTTGAAAGCTAATGGCAAATGTCATGGCCTTTGATAATAGCAGGTGACTTCAAACTCACAATTAGGTAGTCATGTATCCTTTATTTACAGAAACTTGTAATAATTTTCCAGTTGTCATAAAAATATTTACCAAAATATCCCATTACATGTACTTTTGTTGCATTCCACTAATTTGATTGTGATAATTAGTTCTCATTAACACAAGGATTTTCTGCCGAACTGACTTTCACTTTTCACCTTTTCCAGGTTGCAGGAGAAGCATGTGAAGGATGAACAGATAGAACACTGGAAAAAAATTGTGAAAACACAGGAAGAATTGAAAGATCTTCTTAACAAGGTCAGATGATGACATTTAGAACAAGACAATAGTACTGTGTTCCTGACAAAGTGCCAAAATGTACAAAAATGTCCAGAGAAAAATATCAGAAAGTTGCTATTAATGCTGTTCTTAAAATACGTCTTTGCTTAAGACCTGCTTAGAAGCCCTCTTAGGACAAAGGTGTTTCCTTCTTGAGGGGGAACATAAGGCAGAATTTAGTTCTCTTGAATTTATGTTCCTCTTGAGGAGGAACGTAAGGCAGATTAGGCAGAAAACCATAAAACATAAATACAGGAAAAGAAAGGAAGAGGACAGACTTGATAAATTGCGATGTTTCATAGCTTTCTTTAGAGATGCTGGTACTGACTGAAGCTTTTGAGAGGTTATTTAAAAATGTGTGCTGTCTTTACTACAAATCTAATTTGTAGTACAAAACAGTGGGTTAGACCTTCCAATACTTTTGCTTGAGGTAGATGATATCTTTTCTTCTCTGTGGAATTTTTTCAAATGAAAAATTTTTGTGGACAACTGTCATATTAAGTTATCTGCAACATATTTAGTAATAAATCAATGTTGGTTTTAAGCGATGTTGTTTTGGGGGTTGGTGATATTTATTATGGTTTCTTGGAGGTAGAATTGCATGTAAGTGACATCTGCCAAAACCAGGAAATCTCTTCAGTATACTGGCATAGCTTGAGGTGAATATGCATTTTACACAGTAACTTGTTGAAATCTACCTTTCCACATATTTTTTTCCCCTTTCTTTCTTCCTTTTCCTGTTCTGTCTGAAAAGATGGTGAATTTAAAAGAGAAGATTAAAGAACTTCATCAGCAGTATAAGGAAGCATCAGATGTGAAGCCACCTCGGGATATTACAGCGGAGTTTCTTGTGAAAAGCAAACACAGAGATCTCACTGCACTTTGCAAGGTAAAGGATGACATAAGTATAGCAATTATCTGCTTTCTGAGGACTTCAGCAGCCATGTAAAATTAGCCAGTATAAACGTTTCCACATCTCTCACTCTGACCAGTGCTTTCAAGAGAATATGGCAGTAACTTTGGGTTGTAACACTGAGTACTTTTAGGTGGGGAGTATTAGCATGCTGAAAACTCAGTTTTGGGTAACGGTCTGCAATGACTCATGTCAGACAGCACTTAATGTTTTGAAGGTGAAATTTTATGTCAGGTGTGATGTTTTAGTACAGCTGGGTCTCACAATAGTCTGGAAATGAAATCTACATTTGAAGAGAAATACCTTTTCTCTAAGATAAAAAAGGTGGTTTCTTGAATAAAAGACTTCTTTCTATCCGAAGATTATAATGTACAGAGCTCTGTCTTGACAAGCAGAGTTAGTTGCCCCTCTCTGGGGATATCTTGATGTAGAAATATGCCTTAAAAAGGAAACCTTAAAAACTGTTCTTTCTATGATACTGTGCCAGTTTAAAAGTAAATCGTTGGGAGAAATGAACCCAACTCAAGAGAGATTACAAGTCAGAGTTACAGTTTACTAAAAAGATAACAATAAATACAATGATACAGAGAAAAACTGGTTTTAATTCACAAAAACAGACGTATAACCCAGCACCCTGGGACAAGAACAGAGCAGTGTTTGTTAGCCCCTGTGCTGAGCTCCACATGGCCCCTCCGGGTGCAAAGTAAAAGAAAAAGAAAGCCTGTTGGTCCAGATAATGGTCACAGTTCTGCCAAAGTTCTGGTCCTCCTCTTGACTGAACGTGTCTTACCAGAAGTCCCAAAACTCAAAGTTTAAATATATTTAAGTTCAGGTGGAAATGCCCAGTACCTCCCCCAGGACAGAGGGTTTCACAGTGGGTGATTTAACTCTGTGAGTCGTGGGATATTTTTGGAATCTCCGATGGCCTAGGTGTTTCAGCTGCCCATTATGCCAGCCCGTGGTGGCCCATTAGCAGAGGTGACCCCTCAGGCTGGGGGTGAAGGTGTTAATGCCTTTCCCAGGGGAGTTATCACAGCTGAGTCACTGGCATGCAAACAAAAGAACACTCCCCTACCTCGCAGGGTTCCTTTAATACCCGGCTTGTAGCCTGAGGTGTCAGGTGTGCCCTGGGCAGCTGCTGCAAACTATCCAGTTAATAAGGGTCCATCAGAAGTGACATGGAGGATGTAGAATACAAGTTTTGGTTATACCCACATAGTGGTGAACTGGTCTCAGCCCCTGTAACTAAGATAGATATTGATGGATCTCTTGCTATCTCAGGTCAGGTAGAACCAAAGATCAATTTTCAGATACTTGTTCAACAGAAGATATGTCACCTTTATTTGGAAGCTCTGTGTGTGTGTATACATAAGTAGTGGCTTTCCTAATTTGTCACCAGTGAACAGCTTTGTCCTCTTGTTGCTTTTGTTGGACACTCCAAGTTATTCTGCCTTGAAGGAAGATGGCTGTTGCCTTTATATCTAGTTCTACTAATGTTTTTTAAAATCAGGAAGAAGCTTGAATTAGACCATGTCTTTATCTTTTATGCATGATTGCTTCTGCTTTGGAAAACTCCATGTTCAAGATTAGCTATAATATTTTAGGAGAGAAAATTAAAATAGAAGAAATATTTTGTGGAATATGAAGCTTTCAATACCACAGGAACCCTTAAAATATCAGGACTGTAGGGGACCTTCAAATCTGAGTGTCTAAATTCCTGAAATATCACCAGACTAATATTTTCTGCAGTGTGGTACCGAGTTCTGTATATTCAAACAGCAGAAGAGCAAAATATACTGGATTAAATGTTGAAAAAAATAACAAACCCAATTTAGCTTCCACTATATCTGTGAATCTTACAGTAATTTCTCTTGATTAGATCCAGTCTGATGCTACATGATGTCCTCAAATCATGTCAACTGATTTTAATGTTAGCTTTTAATCTTACTAGGAGTATGATGAATTGGCAGAAACACAAGGAAAGCTGGAAGAGAAATTACAAGAACTAGAAGCGAATCCACCAAGGTAAATATACAAAATAAAAAACTCAGTAAAGCAGTTCTTTTACTACTTTTCCCTGAGTTTAAAAATTTGCTATGGTATACTTTAATTATGGTAACTCAAGGGGTTGGGAAGGTATGAACGTGGAGTCTGAGCTCCCTCAGCTTTAGAACTCAGCTTCCTCTTTTTTTAGAGGTGACTTGAGCAGAAAAGGTGTTTCTGAGCTAGGGTGGTTCAGCAGGAATCCTGACAGTAGCCAGTGCCTGACCTCAAGAGGCCTTTGAGATCTGAAATCCCTGTCAGAAATGATAGCATACAATCCTACTTATTTTGGCAGAGTAGTATTATTCTGTGCTCTGTGAGATTTTTACTCATTTTTTGTCATTGTCTTTATGCATGCTACTTAAGCCATTATTTATGTAACCTGTTGTATTTCAAAATTTAAGTTTCTAGCTTCCCCTTAGAGTATGAACTCTACTTTAAAAATCTGAATTTGCTGGGGTTTGATCCTCAGCTTTCATGAAGGAGGTCCAAATGTTTGAAACAGAATCTGCTTATGCTGTTTGTTAATGTTTTTATTTCTTCACTAAGGAGGGACACAATCATTTTTGTTTGAGGAGAAATTTTCAGGAGTAATGCGTTTGCAATATCCTGCTCTAGCAAACTGAATGTGTTATCTTTGTTTTTTCTAGTGATGTTTATTTGTCATCAAGAGACAGACAAATACTTGACTGGCATTTTGCAAACCTAGAATTTGCTAATGCTACACCCCTCTCTACACTTTCACTGAAGCACTGGGACCAGGTAGGTAATCAGTGTATTTATTCAGCAATGTACTAAAAGTTTCAGCTATTTTATTTCATTCTCATGAAAGTTTCTCAATGTTAAAAGTTTCCAACTGTTAAGTGCTGTCTGCTTTTGTGTAGATACTGAATTCTTACATGATTATTATTTGCTGATGAAATTCCAGACAGCTTTTTGTTAGTGCCAAACCAGTCTCTAATGGTAGTCTGCTGAAAGTTTCTATACTTGTTACCTGACTAATAACCAGAAGGAATTTCACATTTGTTTGACTCTTGAAAAAAAGATTTTGAAAAGATTTTTCCATTGTATAGAGTTGTTGATCATTTTCTGTTGATTTAGGGGACTTCATTGTAACTTTGTGCCTTTTTATTTTAGGATGATGATTTTGAATTCACAGGCAGTCACTTGACTGTGAGGAATGGATATTCCTGTGTGCCTGTAGCCTTGGCAGAAGGGTTGGATATCAAATTAAACACAGCAGTTCGACAGGTTCGCTACACAGCATCAGGTGTGTGAAACCTCCGTTATACGCATAGAGGTAGATAAACAGGCGTGGTTCTTGTTGGGATTAATTCTGTAGAAAGTTGTTCTATTTGTCCTTAATGCTTTTTTGCTTATTTCTATGATTCATTTGACTCAGTCCATTTCAGTTGAATTTACTGATTGTTCACATTCATTCTCTTATTTCTTTACTTCATCAGTCGAAGTGTTTGGAGTAAGTGGCCTGGGACTGCTTAAGGCTTGGTGCCACAGGATCTGGTATTAGAAATATAAATTAATATAATGAAAGGAATGTATCTTTTTGTTGTTCTTCAAAATATTAGGCTTGGGAAACTGAGCTGGGAGAACAATGCGATGAGAGGCTCACTCTCTGCTTGCATTTATTTATGCATATATTTCAATATCATTTACTGGATAAATGTTTAGGCTTATCCCAGTTAAGGCCATTTTCATATGCTGTATTAATTACCTTTTCTGCAGTGGAACTAAATGGCCAGTAACATTCACTTGCCTACAAGTTAATCAGTTGTTAGTGTAAAGCTCTCTCCATAAACAAAATATTTTCTGATGTGGTAGTTTCCTTAATTTTTAATCCAATGCTTTTGCCTCCCGGCCTATTAAATTGGTTTTCTCTCCCCTTTGCAGGCTGTGAAGTAATAGCTGTAAATACACGGTCTACCAGCCAGACCTTCATTTATAAGTGTGATGCTGTGCTGTGCACTCTGCCCTTAGGAGTGTTGAAACAGCAGCCTCCAGCAGTTCAGTTTGTGCCCCCTCTTCCAGAGTGGAAAACTTCTGCAGTGCAGCGTATGGGATTTGGCAACCTGAACAAGGTGAGCTGTCACTGGGGAAACTGCTGTAGTTCAAGGTTAAAAGTCTGAAATGTGGGTGGAATATGTGGTGGGGAAGAGGAATAATGTCTTTTCCATGACTATTTTGCTAGGGTTCAATGATGACATTTGTCTGAAGAACTGTAAGGGCCTCTTCTCTATTTTCCAGGTTTTAAAGAGGTACATTGCAGAAGTAGGTCTGCTGGAGCTTGTTAACCAGCAAACTGGTAAATTATGAGAGCACATTAACCTATGGGAAGGCAGTGTAGGCACACACCTATTATATACTTATTTATTATGTATATGCAGTATATATTCACCAGATTTCCCTTTCTTGACCTGTCCAGTGATATAAACATCAATGAAGGCAGTTGTTTTTATTTTTATTTATTCCATCTGCTCCTAGCTGTTGACACTCTTTCTTTCTAGGTTGTGTTATGTTTTGATCGTGTCTTCTGGGATCCAAGTGTCAATTTGTTTGGCCATGTTGGGAGCACTACTGCAAGCAGAGGAGAACTCTTCCTCTTTTGGAACCTGTACAAAGGTATCTGTGGTGCATCTCTACTTTTGCCTGTGTCTCATTTGTGTAGTTTCGGATCTAGAAAAGACATTTTAAGATGCTGTCAGTGTTCACATATGGATATGATAAGAAGATAGTATTTGTTGGAAGGTAAATGGAAGCAGAGAGCAGCACTGACTGCAAACAGTTCTGTAGTAAATTAGGGCAGCACACAGGTGAATGTGAGTTTACTAATGCTAGATTCCAGGCTGTGCCTGTTAAATTGCATTACTACTATCTACTGTAACGCACTTTTATAGCTACTTTATTGTCTTACACCTTGGTGGAGTTGTCCTGTGACCTACTCAGTGTTACCTTGTTTGCTTCCATTAATCATCTGTTAGTTGCCACTGGTATTCTGGAACCACTCAACTTCCAGTGTTGTCCTGATTATCTACTTTGTCAGGAGGGTGTGTTGAATTCTCCAAGGAAAGGTGATTTGTCACTGCAGCATGTCTTAATTAAAAGCCATTTCTTAGTTCATACTTATATTTGAAATTGAGTTTTTCTCTGGCTCGTTGTTTGAGCTCTTCCCCTCTTTCAGGGAACTTCTGGTGCCAAAAGGGACTGGCATCCAATTTAGTTTTCAAAACCTCATCTTCCTGGATGGTTTTTAAGTTGAACTGGCAGTTTGAAGCCAGACCTCTTGCTTGGGGTTGTCTGTCTAATCTGGGATGATTTGATAAATGTACATGAGCTCCTTTTATCTGTGACCTCAAGTCCTTTCTGGTTCAGGTGACTTTTCTGCCTAGGATTCCATACCAGAGTGTCTAGGAACTGACCAAGATAAATTACACTTTTTTCAGATGTAAGAGGTTCTATTGATCTATGTATTCCTTTAAGTGGCTGAGTGCAGAAGTCTATACTTGCAAGTTATCCTCCTTCACTTTGTTGGGGAGTACAGTGCAGCCTTTAGAGTATTGAACACCTGGATTTCAGTGGAGCAGACTGGAGGGTTTGGGATAGCTCTGTTCCTTTTGCTGAGCAATGCCATTCCAGCTTGATGAGCTGCAGGCCCATCCACATGGTTAAGCTGCAGTGTGCCCCCCCCTCAGGCTGGGGGGTCTGCAGTTTGTTGAATGGATGACCTTGGTTCCTGTTTTGAGCAGCAAACAGTCTTTGACTGTAGACTGTGGGTCTCAGACTGACGGGTAATTTCAGAACTCTTTTTTAGAAAATGCTTAAGTAGGCAAAAGTTATTGCTCTGCCTTTTTCTACTGATGAACTTTGGCATTAGTAGTTTTGGTTTATCTGCAGCTGGTGCTGCCACAATAGATTGCCATGAGATCTCTGCAGTGAGCATACTAGGGGTTTTATTGCCATATACCAGACTATAAAAGCAAAGGAGTATATATAGTGAGCCCTATTAAATGAGATATTTGTCTTGCAGATGACCAGGGGGTTTTCTTCCATTCTGCCATAGGCAGGCCAGATTTTTCTTTTGACTGCAAAAAGTTGCTATGCAAGGACAATGCCTTTCTAGGATATTGAATTGTAAAAATGTTTGATAAGACTTTACTGGAGAAATACAAGTAATGAACCTTGGATAGCAAGGCTGTTCATGTGGCTTTTGTGGCTTTAGGATTGCTTTATTACATACTTAACAAGTAATGTGGAGGTTTTTGGTTTGAGGTGGAAGGACCATGTTATAGAAAGGTTTTGCTGCTAGGATCAAAGCCTTCTTTCTCATGAAAATAGGCAGAGCAGGTAGAAATAAAACAGTAATGCAGTAAAACCCCATGCTGAAGCACAAGTCAGGTGGCTGAAGTCAAAAAGAACAGTTACCATTTATCGTGGATAGTTGGGAGGCAGTTAACGTGGTTAGACTGAAATACTGAAGTAGACCTGACTGAACTTAAGAAGCTACTGTTTATTGCTGTCATATTCTGCATTTCTGTAGCTGTAGTATTTTAGGCAGAAACTCCGTAAACTGATTGAAGAAGTTATTAATGCAGAAATAAGAAGTGTAGCAGAAGATAGAATTATTGCAGCCTATGCTGCATGAACCCCTTGGGTTGTCAGAGACCAGTTGGTCTCTGAGAAGTGTTTAAAGATATGTGGGGGAATGGATCAGATGAATAGACTGCACCTGTCTGTTCTGGGTGACTTTTTACAGGTCAGACAGGAATCCTCCCAGTGGTTTCAGTCTGGCCCAGGGTAATGACTGCTGAGAAGACCTGTGGGCTCAGAAATGCTGTGCTAGCCTGGGGCAGCTGACCTGTGCTGCTGGTGCCTCTCGCTCCAGCACACTGTTGGGTTACTGTCATAACTCTGAAGATGGAGAAACTCTATCCACAGGGCAGAGGAATGCCTGGCAGAAATGCTCAGTGTTTTCTGGAAGTCCAGTAACATTTCAGTCTCTGTTTTCTTGCCTGACTCTTCTGTTTTTCCTGGAGATGAGATAGAGAAAGGGCCTCATCATCATATCCCTGTGATTTCCGATCTCTGGCTAAACCACATTCTCTGCTTGCTGTTTGGTATCAAGGCTTAGTAAGCGTCACTGCCTCAAGGAGAGAATTTCTTGGGGAGCAGTGACACATGCTCGTCATACCAGAAGCATCTCTGAGCAGCACTTGGGTATTTGCATCGCAAAATACTCATTGTTCTGCTGCACCTGTCTGCCCTTCTGTTACAGTTCTGAACTTACCAGGTGGCTGAGTGGCAGTATTTCCAGGTCTAGATAAATGCTTACAAAAAAGGAAGGATTTCCATAGAAATATTTTGGGGTTGTCTGGATACAAGTTTTCAGTGACAAATTCACTGGAAGCCGCATTTTGAATATGTAGTTGTTCCATTAAGAAAAAATATGTTGATTGAATAGTTGCTAAGAAGTTCAGGGATCTCATTGTGTCAGGGACGGCAAACTAGGAGAAATATCAACTGAGAGAGTTTTCATTAAGTAACAGTGCTGAGGTCTGAATCACCTGTAAATACCTGTTTCTTGCCCTTGAGTTATTTTGGTGGTTCTTCAGTACTTACCTAAAATTTTCCATGACTTTGTGACTACCAGAATTGTGAACTTATTCTTACCACACCTGGCCAGAGGGAAAACAACATCATCTCTTTTGTGTGTATCCCAGAATCACATTACCACTGTTAACCACAGCATCTCATGGCTGCTGAGTTATTTGATACCTGTCCATTTGACTTCTGAATTCTTCTCAGAATTGCTTCTTTTCCGGAAATTGTTCTACTGCTCGTTGATTTCACTCCATTGAGATTATTTAACATGAATGTTCTTTGGTAAAAAAGAAATCTAAGTATATGTATGAGGGGAGTACTTATGCTGCTCTGCTGATGTTAATTATGCCTAAATTAGATTGTTTGGAAGGTACTAAGTTCCCTTAAATGTAGCACAGTTGGGTGCTAAATCCCAGTGGATGCTCCTATGCCGAACAAGTGACATCTGAACTGAAGAAATCCCCTCTTCCGCATGCTGTGCTTCCTGATGCATATATTTATTTTGTAATATATCAGTTCTCTTGATAATTCTAAATAGTACCATGGCATATATAAATACATTTTCCTTTTGTTATTTTGGCATGATACTGGAAGATTTAGGACTACTTTTTTTGTTTAGTTTCTAACCTTGTGACTTATCTGCAGATCTTGGATAGCCAAGTCCAACTTGTCTGATTGAAACGTTCAATTTCAGTAATTGAAGTGTTTTTTTCTCTCTCCTTCCCTACCCCCCACAGCGCCAATTTTGTTGGCCTTAGTAGCAGGAGAGGCAGCGGGGATCATGGAGAACATCAGTGATGATGTCATCGTTGGTCGGTGCCTCGCTATCCTCAAGGGCATATTTGGCAGCAGTGCTGTGCCCCAGGTCAGTGCAGGCGGCAGCTGGGGCTGAAGGAGTGGGAGTGTGCGTTGTCATCCTGTTGATAATGGGAGAAGAAACAGAGGGAATAGTCTATAGTACAGTGGGTGTGTGCAGCTGTACAAAGTGTGAGTTCCAGTTGAGGAGGCATGTGCAGCGGGGTCTGGTAACATATTGGGAGGGATTAAGGAATCACCGTGAAAGATTTAGTTTAATGTGTGTTTGAATATAAATGTGAAGTTCCACCATTAACATCAGCTCAAGGACTTTGTTCCTTATGTTGCAATTTGCATCATTTGTATTTGGCACAAGCTGTAGAACTTGCACTGTCTCAACAACTGAAGTTCCTGTCTTGTCTCAGCCTAAAGAGACCGTGGTGTCCCGCTGGCGAGCCGACCCCTGGGCCCGGGGGTCGTACTCCTATGTAGCAGCTGGATCCTCTGGAAATGACTATGATTTGATGGCTCAGCCAATTACTCCAGGGCCAGCCATTCCAGGTGCTCCACAGGTGAGAATGTTTCAGTTATTTTTACAAAAAGTTAAAAATAGGATGATTTCTCTGAGTAATTTGCATACATATCTAAACACAAGTTTAGATAACTTGCATTTTACGATAAATTTTTAAAACCTGTAAAACAATTTTTCCATTCATGAATTCTGCCATCACAGAGTTCTGGTGTCATTTGTTTGCTAAAGAAAAAAAGATTTTTATTCAGAAAGTCAGTGTGGTAATGTCTGAAGAGAGTATTTAATATTATACATGTGTTTCATCCTCTGTATTTTTATTGTCCATCACCATTTTAAGTGAGTTGTAGTGATTTGAAAGAGGGCAGAGGTCAGAGTGAGAGGACCAGGAATCAAAAGGTCTGTCCCAAATGGGGGACAAACACAATGAAGGCAGGAGTTATCTGCAGTTCATCTGGAGTGGATGGAAGTTTGAAAGCAGCATCTACTCTGAAAGCCCTGCCAGAAAAGAGTGTATAGCTTTAGCTTTATTTGGGTTCTTGTTCTAATGATACAAGTCTTTAATACACCTAGCTTTGGATAAAGTGTATTACATTCCTTGCAGAATGTAATACATGAGTACTTGTTTTTCTCCTACATTTTATGATTCTGTGGGCAGTTGCTTTAGGTCTCAGTTTAAAGAGAAACTGCTGATTTTAATGAATTGCTAAAGTTTTTGTTGCTAACTGTGCTGGAGTCCACGCACCAGGATCAGAAACCATTCCTCCTAAATACATTTGACAGTTTGGCTGTGGAGTTACAGATACAACATGCAAATGCTGTTTCAGTACAGCTGGGACATGACCCTTCTCTGCTTCTCTGGCTCTGCAAACATTGCTTATTGAGTAGAGCTTTATTTTCTTGGTAATTTGTACACGGGTTAAAATAGTTTCATTAAGAACTGTATTATATGCACCACCTTCATGTTAGTGGAGATTGTGTTGTGATTTGAGGGCTTTTAACGTCCGTAAAGTATCATTTGCTGCAGGATCCAAAAGCACATGAGCAACCCCTAACCGTGCCCTCTGTCCCCCAGCCCGTTCCACGCCTGTTCTTCGCGGGAGAGCACACCATCCGCAACTACCCCGCCACGGTGCACGGGGCACTGCTGAGCGGGCTGCGCGAGGCCGGGCGCATCGCAGACCAGTTCCTGGGGGCCATGTACACCCTGCCGCGCCAGCCCGCACCCCCCGCGCCCCCGCAGCAGGCGGCCAGCCTGTGAGGGCAGGGAGGCTCGGCACAGGAACCCCACGGTGCTGCTGCTGTGGATCTGGGATGGAGACACTTCCACAGTCCCCGGCAGAGTCTGCGAGAGGACCTGAGTTACTGCACGACGCTGGTGTGAGAATGGCCTTACAGAAGCTCGCTGAGCCCTGGGCTCGGCAGCCTTCTGAAAACCTTAGAGCTGTTTGAAGGGACAGTGTAAACAGAATCCTTTACTGTGAAGCTGGTGAGGGACTTTGATTCTGCAGATACTTTTTGAAAGTCAGGCTTATAGCTGGAGATTTTTTAGGATGGGGTTTTTTTCTACCTATGTGTGTATTTACAATTTGGTAATTGCACAAAGCCCTCTAAAAGCTGGTTGCTACAAATAGTAACTTAGTGTAGAATTTATGTAAACTTCTTTGTGGTTTTTCTGTGGTTTTGTTTTGAAGACTAATATTTTTGACCAATTCTATTCCTGTCTGGTTTTGAGAATTTGGGGCAACTGTTTACCTATCAGTAACAGCAAATCACATTCCTTTCAAAATAGTCCATTGGCTGCTACACCATCTGCATCCTGTTGCAGAGAATAAGTTGGTATCATTGAGCATGCTAAGCATACTGTTTTATTAAATAATTTCAACAAAAGAAATCTTCAGAATTGGATATTCTTAAGTTAAAAATGAGAAAAAAATATTAGCATTTTTTTATATCATTCATCCTCCTGACCATGTCTTCTGGTTGCTTTCTCCTGACATGTTGAGGTCTTTGAGAAAGGGCTCATGTGGCCAAGGTATTGGGCTGTGAAGGGGACAAAGATTAGAGGTGTCAAGGACTAAGCCCATTGGAAGTGGTTGCATTTGGTGCCATGAGAGACCCTTTATGCCAAACCTCCATCTAAATCAGTGTTACCTTCCTCCGGTCTCTGACTTTGCAAATATTGTTGCTGCTTGAGCCCTTGATGAAAAGGGTTAGTATTGAGCAACACCACTCATTCTTGCTGTGCCTTCCAGGGACAAGAGAGACTTGTCATGGTTGGTTAGAAAAGTGCCATTAAAGGGGGGCAGGACTTGAAAGTCCAGCAAGGCATGGAGGAGGAGTGTCTGGGGGTGAAGGAGAGTAAATAGGGAGTCATTTGAAACTCAAGAGTCGCTGCCTTATGCTCATCAACACCACTATCCAGGGAAACCTGTTCCAGGATGACAGATGTGACAGACCTTTAAAATCCACCAGCAGCTGAGCTCCTCTTGGCTACTCTGACTGAAGATGGGAAAAGAATTGGGGTGCTGTGCCATACATATGCGATGTAATTGGGTCTCCATATTTGTAGGGTGGTTTGTTGTTGGGATTCATGATGATGCTGTCTCTGTCGTGACATCCTGTGTGCTCTAGCAAAGTGTCAGAAACTCTTAAAAGCACTTCAGGCCCACTAGAAAATAAAATAGTCCTGAACTTATTGTAGTCAAAGGTGTCTTTTTCCAGACAAATGCCAGGCTGCTTCTGCATGGTCTGAAGCAAGTGTGAGTTGCTGTCACTGCAGCTACACTGTAAGTATCAGACTGCTGAATCTGTTCAGCAACAGGAGCCAGTGCTTTCTGAGCTGTGGGTGGTGAAGGATGCAGTTTGGATTGAGTGTGGCTGCAGTTCTCCCATGTGCTCTGCTGGCCTTCATGAAGCCCTGCACACCCCCTCGAATGTTTCCTGTGTGCCTCTTGGCCCGGAGGGACCGGAATCTCCCGATCTCTGCAGCGCTTCGTGCTTGTTTTGGGTCAGCAGAGGTAACGTGTCTGTTGAATGGGTAAGGATTTAAAATACCACTTTCCTGGGTTTTGGGGTGGGTGTGACCTGCAGGTCCTTATGGCTGAAATGTGCAGACTCTGCCTGTTTTCAGAAGCAGCTCAGATACTGCAGCTTTTGAAGAAAACAAATTACCATTTATTGGCAACTCACCACAGTTCTGGAGGTAGCTGGACCATTTGAGGAGGAAGGATAGCCAAGCTGCTCCTGAAAGGAGGACCTGGAATCTGGCCTGGGATGGGAATGGCTGCAGCTGGTAAGATTTTGGTAGGCCTGAGGGCACTTGGAAAAACTCCACCTGAGAGCATGGAGCTAGTGGAAGAGCATGAAGGAAACAGTAAGGGATGGTCTTGTCTGAGCCTCCATCTCCCTCCAGGAGTCATGTTCAGGCCTACTTGGCTTTATCGCAGAGTCATAGAATCATTAATGTTGGAAGAGACCTACAAAGGTCATCCAGTCCAACCATCCACCCAGCACTACCATTGTAACCCCTAAAACCACGTCACCCAGCGCCAGAACCAGGTGCCTCTTGAGCACCTTCAGGGATGGTGACTCTACCACCTCCCTGTGCAACTTATTCCAATGCCTGACCGCTGGAACAGTGAAACAATTTTTTTCTAATATCCCATTTGAATTTCCCATCTCAGCTTAAGGCCATTTCCTCTGGTGGTCTCACGGCAGAACAGACCGGCCCCCCCCTCACCCCAGCCTCATGTCAGGGGTTGTGGAGGGCGATGAGGTCCCCCCCGAGACTCCCCCACAGCAAACCAACCCAGCTCCCTCAGCCCTTCCTCATAAGACTCGTTTTTCTAGACTTTTCCCGAGCCTTGTTGCCCTTCCCTGGACGTGCTCCAGTTTGAAAAGAGTGAACAGGCCTTCCCTTCCCTTCCTGTGGAGTCAAGGCTACCACATGATACAAACGTGATTGTTTTATCTGGGGTTTTTTGAGGTTTTCTTTGAGCTGTGGCTGCTGTGCCTGACTTGGTGCTGTCTGTGAGCTTGAGTAGCGTGTTAACAGTCTTTGGGGACCAAAGGCTTTGCATATCCTTAAACCTCATTTGCATATCCTGATAACACCACACAGAATTCCAGTTCAAGATGAGTGCAGAGAACTGTGGCAGGTGCAGCTGCTCCAGCAGGAACTGAGTCCTCCAGCCAGTGCCTACCACTGACCTGCTGTGTTGTGACTGGCATCAGATGTGTGGTGCTGACTCTGCAGGCTGACCCCATCACCCCTGCCTGGCAGCTGTGGTGGGGCAAAAGGTCAGACCCCGGCCAGAGGGGTTAACGTGACTGTACCTGACCACAGATGCAGATCATAGTGGGCTGTAGCTCTGCCAGTTGAGTCAGCCCTCAGAGCAACAGGTGGGGCTGGGGCCTTCCCGGGGGTTGGGATCCACTCAAGGGAGCTCCTCAAAGTCAGTAGCCTTCACCTTCTTAGGTGAGTGAGAGCACATTTTGGGTTACTCTTGTAATATCTTGGGAATTCTTAGCCCAGGCCATGCGAATTCCACTGGGCATCATGAATCTTAGTGCCATGGTCTGGTAACCACAGCAGTTGTGGATCAAGGGTTGGACTTGATGATCTCAGAGGTCCTTTCCAACCTGGCTGATTCTATGGTTCTATATTCATATATGGTTCTGTATTCAAGTGTTGGAAGAGCTTTAATTGGTATATTTGGTTTCACGGTTTATAAAATAAATCTTGCTTGAATATATTATTTGTCTTGACTTTCTAAGCCTGAACTTACAAATTTCTACTTGGCAAATCAGCAGGATGCCAGCAGGGAATTGTTACAGAGGCAGTGCTGTGCCCATCTTCCTCTGGGAATGGAAAGGGCAAAGTCCAACCCCCACAGCATCACAGAGATACATCAATGCCAAGACAGCAAGGAAGACAGGAAAGGCAGAGGAGCTGTGTGTGCATCTCAGAGTGTGCATTGTGCAGGCACAAGTGAGCTTGAAGAAACAGCTAAAGATAAAGGTATTAAAGAACTGAAAAGAGAAAGAGAGTTGACACCTCTGTTAGAACAAAAAAATTGTGCTGGCACCAGTAACAAAGTTTACAACCCAGCATTGTCCAAATGCCGAAATTAATCACGGGCAAAGAGCCCAAGAAGTGGAGTGGGAACACAGGAAAGATCTTGGTATGTATGAGAGGGGACAACAGGGTGCCATGGCCATGCCAGTAGGCCCCAACCACCTTAAACTGAATCAGCAAACCCCATCAGCTTCCACCTGCACCTCCAATGACCTGGGCACACTTACCTGCAGGCACGGGGGGGGGAAGCTGCTGTGGGCAGTGGGGCCAGCAGAATAAGAGGGTTCAACAGACTAGTGGGAAACCTCTCTCCGAGCAGCCCCCACTCCATCCCTCAAGAGCCTCAAGTCCCTGAGGCAGAGCTAATGGAGCCCACCCAGAGGATGAAGGATCTCTCGGGAAAGGCCCTAGGGCTGGGAGGGCCCAAGGGAAGTCACACACACAGTCAGCTGCCCTCCAAGCCTACAGGCAAGGGGCAGAGCTGTCAAAAGGGATGATGAGGGGCCAGGACACAGGTGTCCTCCAGCTGTGTGCCATTACCCCTTTTGCATCTTTCCAATAGGACCTGAAGGAGTTGAAAAACTGGAAGCCGAGGTTTGGGGCTCAGGCCACCAGATCAGTGTGGTGAATTTTTGCCAATGGTCTGTTGATCAGGAACCGCACAGGACATGTTCCTGTGGGCCCACTAACTGATACAGGGGCCCAAATTAGTGTTTTGAATAAAAGGCAGGCAGAGAATTAGGAATTACACCATCAAGGAAAGCTTTAAATATTGGAGGGGTAATGTCTGTTACCCTGACCTCAGCTCTGCCTACCTCGGGAAAAATGACTCATGGCTGTGGAAGTGCTCTGAGCCCTCATACAGGGAATTCGTTAGAATCTGACAGACTTTGAGGCAAGTACTGGTACCATAGAGCAGGCTGATGGCCTGATCAAAGGACATGCTGATGTCTCATGCCACAGTTGGGATCTGTGTTTGAGACACACAGTCATCATTGCCAATAACTGCTGAGGAATTCATGGAAACCCAAAGATTTGAAAGTTTTTTCCTACTGGGCCACTGACAGGTGCCACCTTTAGGACTGAAGGGATCAATTCCCATTGAAAACACATGTGGGACAACCCATTCTGTTGAAATTGCCTTCTATTGTCATTGTGCCTGTGATCCTGCAAAACTCAAAGGCTTGTGAGTCCTGGGAGGCCCTAAAGGCTAGTGGGAAGACCCATCTCATTAGTGCCTGATGGATGAACCCTGACTTCTATCTCTGAACCCAATTTCAGACATCTGAGGTCTGGATTTATTTTCTTAAAGTGCAGGACATGGAGACCTGGGTCACCCTCATGTTTTTGCTGGCAACAGGGTAGTGTCCAGCATCAACCACCAGGACCTGAAGGGCTATGTAATAGCAAAGAGAACAGTAGGGTTTGCACAGATGATGAAACGAACCCTGAAAACTCTCCTTGAAACTCTCCTTGGAGAGACGAGCCCATGCTGGAGCAGGTTTTTCTGGTAGGACTTGTGGCCCTGTGAAGGACCCATCTGGAAGCAGCTTGTTCCTGATGGACTGCACCACGGAGAAGTGACCCATGGTGCAGCGCTCTGGGAAGAACTCTTGCCTGTGGGATGGACTCACGCTGGAGAAGTTGGTGAAGGTCTGTCTCCCACAGGAGGGACCCCACAGGGAGCAGGGGAAGAACTCCAGCTCCTCTCTCTGAGCAGTGGCAGAAATAACAACTGACCATAACCCCAGTCCCATCTCCCTGCACTGCTGGAGGGGAGGAGGTACAATGTAGAAGGAGTGAAGGTTGGGGGAAGGTGTTTTTAAGATTATTTTATTTCTCACTCACCTGCTCTGATGCTGTTGGTTATAAATCTAATTAATATCCCTGCTTTGAGTCTGTTTTGCCTGTGATGGTGATCAGGAAGTGACCTCTCGCAGTCCTCATGTCAAATCACGAATCCTTTGTTGTATTTTCTCTCCTCTGTCCAGTTGCAGAGGGGAGTGAGAGAGGAGCTTTAGTGGGGTCCGGGGTCAACCCACTGCACCATATTACCTGTAGCTGGTCACCAGGTGTGACCAGCTCAGCCTGCGATGCAAGTTTGGGATTCCATCTTTCTTCCTGCCAGCAGAGACAGGCTGGAGTTGGAAGGCACTGAACTGTGTTCAGTGTCCCGAGGTGAACTCTGCACCCACTGGGATCCTGCTGCCTACTTGTTGCAGCACATGAAACCAACAAGTGCCTCCTTGTGTTTAACTCCCTAAAGGAGACAGCAACAATTGCCCCAGTGCATGTAACCAAAATGCCACGGCTTGTCAGTCAAACTTTTCATGGACCAGGACAACAGGCAATGCTAGTTGGGATGGGAGGAACGATAGGACATCCCTAGCCTGGATTGGAGCTGCCATTCAATGTAGGCACATAGGTAAAATGCCTTTATTAAGGTCATATCCTCCTGCCTGGGAAGCTCTGGCACAGGGCTGACTCCTGGTGCAGTAACCCTGGCTGGCTGTGCCCCTCTGCCCTAATGTGCAGCAGAGCCAATGACACCCTTTGCCCACCTGGCATCTGTGACACCAGGCTCGTGGCAACCATCCACTGCTCCAAGAATCTTCACCTACCTCTGACAGACACTTGTATTCCTGATTATCTGCAACTATTCTGGGATTAGCCTGTAAATTGTCTGTGCCCTCTCTATGGCCCATCTTTAAGGAAGGGTCCATGTCCCACAAGTGGCGTGAATACATTCCAAAAGACAGCAGAGGGGATGGCAGGAAGCTTCAGCACAAGTAAGGTGGTGGTTGGAATCAGTATTTGAACCGGAAATCATTTGGGTGTATTATTTGTCTCAATTTTGTGACGAGAAACTGAAAACAGTTGAGTATGTCCATCTGTGCAACTGCCAAAAGCAAGGAACGAGTCTGGGTTTCAGATCCTTGGACTGAAAAACATGTTACTGAAGACACTAACGGGGATGCTGGGAGCACGATGGCTGGACACAGGCAGGCAGTAGGCCCTGTGCTGGTGAGCGGCAGTGCAGGCAGAAGGTCCTGTGCTGGTGAGCAGCAGCCTTGCATGCTAAAGGCATCCAGAGGGCAGCGGGTCTGGCTCCAGAGCCGCTGGGTGTTCCCCACCTCTCTACAGGGCTGTGAGCATTAGGCTTGTTCTTTGCATTGGGGTGGTGGTAATGATGTTGAACAGCTCTTTTCCAAGCTCAGGAATCACAGTGAAGGGGAGCTGTCGGCTGCCTCTGCAGCGTGGGTACACACTGCTCTGGGTGTGCCACCGAGGGAAATGTGCACTTTACCTTCTGTGAACAGCTGATCAGGAACCCAGGGCAGGAGCAGCGATGACCTGGGCAGGGGCAGCACAGAGTCTGGCTCAACATCTCACCAATAAATAGAGCGGCAACCTTCTCACAGGTGTGACTAAAGCAGAGAGGCTTGCCTCTGAAGTAACAACCGAGTACACTCATTTGTAGGTAACAGGAAGATCACCTAAACCCACCAAAACAAGCAGATGTGACTAATCAAAAAGATCAGAGTAAAAAAAGGCCTTGGAAAAAGTAAAATTTCCTAGTTTTTAAGCAGCAATGCCATGGTGGGTGGCCACTGGTCGAGTTCACGTTCTTCAGTGTCCCCACGTAGCAGTGGTGAGCCTGGCCTTGAACCACAAGGCCAGATTTGGCACCAGATTTGGCAGCATTGGAAATAATGTTTAACTAACATGTTTACAGGTCTCTGCTGCTCCTAGCAGGCCAGACACAGCAGCATTTGTGTTGTAGCTACAGTTAAACAACCACCTCTTTAACGATGCTCAGTAGTTGCCTGTGTGCACTGGGACAGAAAGGGCTCAGCCAAGACATATTTTCTTGGACAAATATTTAACAGAGGGTATCTCTGTAGGACTTCACCTCGCATTAATGGGTTCTACCCAGGGAGCAGTAGCTGAAGGGACAGCTATGGATGGCTCCTAAAATGTCTGTCCATAATAACGAACCATTTTATAGAGCTGCTGGAAACACGTCCTGTTTTGCAAACAGAATAATCCAGAGACAAGGAAAATAATTTTGTCTATAAAATGTACCCACCTTACAACTCAATGTATTTCAACTTATAGTCACAGGGGTTCATCCTGAATGTGACAAGTGCTAACTGTACTTGTATCTGTGCTAACCGTACCTGCACATTAGAAATAGTTAGAAATCATGAGATTTGCCACTTGTACTGACCTCTGTATCCTCCAGCACCTTCCAGGTGACAAACAGATCCTGGTTTCACTGCAATCAATACTGACAAAGCTCTAACCAAGTGGTAGCTTCTTTCCCTCTGTAGTAACACCCTTGCTCGCCCTCTATCAGCAGTGCCACGTTGAGCTCCTCCAGCCACAGTGGAGAGTGGCTGTGTCAACTGGCTGTGCTGTGCCCTGCCCATGCCTGGAATTCAGCCTGCAACGGGTGTGTGAGGGACACCTCAACACAGGCACAGAATGAAGCACAAGGTGTTCAGCTCCTGCACTGACCCACACACACACACACCCTGCTGCCACCCAGGGCTGCCTCAACACCTCACCCAGGGGCAGCAACACCCCTGAGCAACAGGACTTGCAGGGGTCCAGCTGGAAACACCACATCTCACACACACATAAAAAGAGAAGTGTTTATTGGTTATATACTGTAGCGCTGACAGTGTTTGAGTCAGGAGAGACATGCAGATAAGTGTGTGTTTACATTTGGCATGCAGACTAGGAGCACTGTGTCACTTGAAGGAGGTGAGCACCATCAGTATCCACTGCAGGGGCAGCATAGCGAGGAAAGCACTGGCTTTCCTCTACTCAGCATGCTGAGACAGGCAAGTTCTGAAAGGGTGGAACAGTGCTGATAGCTCTATTTTGGACACAAAAGTTTGTTTTAGGAAAAAAGGCAATAATGTTACCCCGGAAAATTTGCTTAACTTAGATGAATCTGTGATTATGAAAAGACTTCTTGCATTATTTGTCTTCTAACTAAGCTGCCCTAGCCCAAATATATGTTTGCAAATACAAAAAAATAGATTTATTCTCTTAAAAATACATTCCATGCAGCCTGGAGCGCTGTTTCCCCAAGGCAGGAGAGCTGGGACTGCACATGGGGCAGCCCAGGAGGATGATCCTTTGGGACTTGGGTTCTGATCATCAGAGGCATCTGCAAACAATGGCTTTGTGTTCTGTTGCACACAGCACAACCCTCGGGAGGCTGGCCTGGAGCAGGGCCCCGATCACTCCAATGCTGTGCAGGGGTGGCAGAGATAAGGTCTGCTACGTTAGAGGTGACACCAACATGATTATTGCTTCGATCCGGAGTCAGGAAATGTGCTCGTGTCAGGTGTCTCTCACCCACCCTGTGCTTCCTGCCCTTCCCCTTGCTGGAGGTCTCACCTGTGGAGGGCCACAGGGCTTGCCCCCAGCCCGGCCCACTGCACAGCACCAGTGGGTGCGTGGCCAAGCTGTCCCACCTACGCTCCCCGAGTGGTGGAGAGGCAGCTCTGCGGCTGCAGAGCTGTTCCTGGGCATGCAGGAAGCTGTTCTGTGAAGCACGAAGCTGCTGCCCCTCGGGCTGGCACCAGCCCTTCTGGGGAAAGCCACTGGCTCTCCAAAAGGGACCAGCAGCTCAGTGTCCGTGGGAGCAGCGAGCACTGACACCCTTCCTCTGTACAGCAAATACATTTACAACTTTGGAATTACCCAAGGACTTGATGCATGGCCTTGTGCATCATCAAGCCTACTGAAAAGCCGGTTATATTTATATGCTAAAATTACAAATACTTCTTCAGTGATGGCAATATTTACACATATACTCTATTTTACAGCTGTTCAAAAAAAGTGTGCAATTTGAGTAAACACATTGTGTTTCCTGAAGTCATTGCTATAAGGTTAATAATACAATCAGCTCCTATTGCACTCATTGACCAGAGGGCATGGCCCCTTTCTGTTCTAGGGAGGGTTTTCTTTCTCAGATTTAATCTCGGTTGTGGTAAAAACCACCAGCGTGGCATCTGTGTCCAGTATTTACAAGCAGTGAGACTGAGTCTAGAGCAAGAGTTCACCTGCTGCAAAATATTGAACAAATGACTGAGGCAGCTGGAGAAAGGAGAGATGTCACCTTGTGAGAAACACTTGAGGAGAGCAGACAGTGCCCAGCAGTTCTGCATTGCTGGGGCAGTAGCTGGGGATAAGCCAGCTGAGCAGCAAGGTGAAGCCCTCTAGTTGCTCCAGCAAAGCCTGGTCCTGGATGACAACAAGTGGAAAACCCAACAGCTGTTGCTGCTGGTGGTTCTTTCCTTGTAATTTAGACACAGGGGTTCCTGGGGCGAGTTGTGGGGTTGAAAAGCTGATGGATAAGCCAGTGTTTTGTGGGAAGGTACAGGGAAACCTGTGTTTATCCTGCGTGTTGTGTCACAGGGATGTAGAGATTTCCTGGCCAGGACTGCAACCAGTTCCCTTGGATGGAGCCTTGGGAGCACCATGCTAAGCTGGAACCATATCAAGAAGACAAGGAGAGGGCTGGTAGATGTGTAGGGGTGTCCTGTGGGATGTGGACCAACGCCCTGCAGCAGGATGGAGCTGGGACTGGGAGGAAAGCCGTTCAGTTGCTGCCCAAAGCAATGCTTGTGCAGTGCAGTGCAGGCTGTCTGCTGGTTTGTACGACCAGCTGGGCAGAGTGACCCAGGGCAGGGGAGCCCCCGAGGTGCCGGCGGTCTGGGGGCCCAGTAGCAACCACGGAGACTGTGACTGGTACAGGTTATACAGCTGCAGAGCCGCTTAGCAGCAGGTTGGGGAATGTACAGAGGGAAATAATAATCCCCGTGACAACTGCAGAGGCAGCTGCATGCCAAGGGGCTTCCCAGCTGCCCCCAGGTTAAGCAAGCAGGTACTGTGTGAGGCATTTGGGCTGCTGAGAGCAGCTTTAGTTTTGAGGGGAACATGAAAAGAAGGGGTAAAGAGTCCTGCGGTGGGCAGGCTGCAGCAGCCCTGAGGAGCAGCGCTGAGCTGGGCACTGCTGGGCAGGCTGCAGGGCTGGATCTGCTGTGGGGGCAGCACAGCACAGGGAGGCAAGGGAAGCTGCTGCTGCTCAAGCAGCATCTGATTTTGGGCGGTGGCAGTGATCCTGACACACAGTGAGTGCTGAGCAGAGCAGGGTGCTTAGGAGGGACATGGCCATTGCACAGGATTGTTACAAAGAAATTGTGATTTCAGACTGCACAATCTGCAAGGATTTCCGATCCTTCCTGATAAACACATGGGGAAGCAGTTCAGAAATCTGAATTTAGCTTCAGATTTTCACTTCATTTTAGTTTGGATTTTGAATTTAAATTTTTTTCCTGTTATCTTGTTCTACTAGCACTGCCATATCAATGGTAACAAAGAGTGGTTCATATAATTTATTTTAATATAATTTAAAGATTATTAGAGCTGCCACTCAGTACTAATTTAAAAGTATAATCTTTTTATCTAGTTAGGTAACTTGAGACTTACATGTCATGACATATAAAAGAATAAAATGAAGGGTTAAAAATACGAATTTGGAAAAACATCTTAAAAATTGCAAAAGGAAACACTTTTTGTCAAAAATAACTTTTCCCTTCCTCCAAACAATCTTTATAAAAAAATAATCATATCACTGAAACACGCCTCTTGTGTTTTCATAGCTATTTTGCAGCCAGGGAGGAGCTGCAGCACAGGATGTGCAGACACACAGCTGTAGCACCTGCTTCTCTGGAGGTGGGAGATGGGAATGAGTGTGGGGTGCAGCTGGGGTGCAGCTCTTTCCACAGGACCTCTGAAACACATCAGGGATCTTTTCCTTCTGGTGCATTATTCCTGTCCCTCCACAGAAAATCACAAGCAGCAGGAAGCACTGGGGGGTCAGTGCTGTTTGTGCACAGGCCAGCCCAGCAGCTAGGGGGTGGAATGGAAAAGAGGGAGTTGCCAAGGCATGTGCGAGCCAGGAGCAATAACCCTGCTCAGGGCAGACGCTGCTCCAGCACCTGCCCCCCTCCTGGAGCTGCGGGGACGGTCTCTGCCTGACAGTGACCCCAACTGCATTCGTTGGCCTGGGAGCACTGACAGGGGGACACATCTCCGTATTTGAAGCAGTCTCTGATCACACCTGGGCCCCGGGCACAGTAGATGGGGATAGAGCACAGATGGAGGCTGTAACTATACTGGAAATCAGCTTAGGGTTCAATCCTGCTGACTCCACTCTGTTTTGGGAAGCAACAAGGACATTCTGCTTGTCTGTGAGGAAAAGCACTTGTTTCTTTTTCTCTTATGGCTCAATTGCTGAGAATGAGTGCAGAGCTGTTGCCTGCAGAGTGTGAGAGACATAAAGCTTCAGGTAAATGGCACTCCAGTTCCAGGCAGGAGGAAGTGTTGCTGCTGCAACACTGGTTTGTTTGGCTCACTGGATGGCTTCTTGGTGTGGGATCTCAACTGGTGATGAGTAGGTCATGCAAGGTTTGTTGCAGAGACTTGACAGCAACAGGAAACAAACTGCTTCTAAACAACATCTTCTCCTTCCCTCTCAATGTGTAAAGCAACAAGCAACCAGCGAGGAATGGTCTCTTCCTACCTAGAGAGAGAGGGTGCTGGGAACACAGGTAGTGATGTGACCACTACCCCAGCCAACAAGGGTGTATAGGGACAATGCAAAATGTCTCTAGAAACGGAAAGCTTTCAGTTGTGGAGGACAGCTGTCATGGGCTGGACGTAGTCACAGGGACACTGCTGGGATCTTGTGTGAATGTAAGTGATTAACAAGAAATTCTCTCTTGTCCAGGGGGTACCATTGTTCACAGAGGCTATGCAGTCAGAGTTTCCATATGGAGACAGACTTACCATCCTATATGGAAGATTAAGATTGCAGGTACAGAGATGAGAAAAGGGAGTCCCCTGAGCAAAGTCTCTGCAGCTGCCTCTTCAGCAATGAAGAAAAAGAATTCACTGGTAAAGCTCCTGTACCTTTCAAATCGCATTACAAAAATGGTTTCAGACTAGCTGAAGCCTCTGGAGAGGTTACAAACAGGTGTGATGCCTGGGAGCTTGGTACTATTCTGCCTCTTGCTCCACTGTTTTCACTGAGCAGAAGGGAATGCAGCTCATCTCCGAGATGTCCGGCAGGCCTGGGAAGTGCCCTGCAAGAGACAACCCACAGCGTCACAGACTGGCCAGACCTGCAGCTCCCCGGGGCATTTCTACTCTACAGACAAGGATTGCAAATGCCTTTGGCAACCACCCCAAATCCCACCAGTATCCCAGTCCAATGGTGGGGTGGGGAAGAGCAGTGACAGGATGGGTTTGGAAGACAGAGGCTCTGCCAGCTGGGAGTAAGCCCAAAGCAAAGGGACCCAGCCCTGCCTCACAAGGCTTTTTTTCATGCTGTAGCATACCCTGTACCCATTTCCACACCCAACATGTGGGTCCTGCAAGTGAGATGCAGAACACCTGACAACAGAGGCACTGGTGTTGATTTAATGTCAGAGCACACCTTTTGTGGTGTTCAGGCTCCTGCTACAGTTGGTGGAGGTCTGGGCAAGAAACCAGACCCAGATGATTGTGTGTACATTACAGGGATGACTTTACCCAATTTTATATCTGCTGTTGATCCAGTCTGTGCAGACAAAGAAAGCACAACACAGTCTCAGGTACAGAACTCTGCCCTGGGCCAGGGAATATCACTGTGAGTATCACCCCTTGATGACCACACAAGAACATTGCTGGGGTGCCTCTTTCCTCAGCGACCAACAAGGACAGTGTAAGTTCACTGATCTCTGCTGCCAACACTACCTTTCTTCAAATGCCAGTCTGCAAAGGTCAGCTGGGACCATGGACCTCTGGGATCTTAATTCTGTGCCCCTCACCATAAGGTGCTCTGTAGGGCACTCAGCTGCCTTGCTGCAGTCCTGCTGCTCTCATGGCAAGACTCAGCAACTGTGGTGTCCAGTGACAGATACTGGCAACGGGCTTGGCGTCTGACAGATTTCCTGCTGTAGGTGATCCATAAACTGAAAGATACACTTTGCTCTGGGCAGCTGCACAGGCCAAGAGGGAATGCCAGGAGAAAAAGGAAGTCTTTTGTGCAGACACAAGCATGCCTGTGCACCTGAGAATTCAAGTCTGCCTGGACCTCTATATCCTCAGAAGGAGGCCCCTTGTGAAGGGGCTGTAAGACACACTTTTTTTCACATTTCAGACCATAAGTCATAGTCACTATAATGTGGGCCATTTTGCATTACTTTGTGTGTCCAGAAGGATGTATTTTAGGAGGCAGAGCAGCAAGTATGTAGCAGCAAGTATGTAGCAGCAGAGAAGCACTCCAGTAATACAGCAGCCAGCTGAAGCAGGAACTCTGCTTTTGTCTCTCCAAATGTATTTTTCCATCCCTGATTGACTCGTGTACCACAGCATGACTAGATGCGGTGCCTCTTAGTCCCTGGAGAATATTTTTAGCCATAAAGCTAGCTGAAACAAGTTTATAACAGAAAATATAACAGCCACTCCATCCCTGGGAAGTGCTAACTTCAGACTGGATTTCTTCTACAAGCTTTACTTTCTTTTTGGACAAGTTCTTTATGTTACTGGGAGGTCAGTTCAGATATTGACTTCTTGCTTTGTAACCACCTTCCCTCCACATACCTGCTCCTCTGCTTGGAGACCTGGTTGTGCAGGGGAGTTGGATTCAGGGTCCTGCAGCTCCACCTTGGTGGCTGGCCTTTTCCCTGGAATGTCAGCCTGTAAGAGGTACTCAGAAGAGCTGTACTGCTTCCTTCTGGAACTGGACACAAAATCCTTGCTTTCATCCTGTGCAAAGGAAAATAAAAAGGGTTGGGATTTGGGGACTATGAAGGGTCTGGAATAGCGCTGGACTTCTCGTGCTGGGTTGGCAGTGTGAGGTACTGCCTTGAGTCCCTTTGGCAAGGAGGGACTTAGGGCACCAGACCAGCTATGGCATGGCCTCACTTATGTACTATTTCACAAGGATTTTTTAAAAAGTCCAGTAATTTTAACCCAATTTATGGGTGCAGAATCACAAAACAGAATAGATCCCTTGGACAAGGTTACCGAGGTCCAAGGAAAGATGAAACCACCGATGTGATGTGGCTGGCTGCTTAAGTAGAAGCTTATGAGGAGTCAGCAGGAGTGAAAAGGGGATGGATGCTGTGTTGGGTTTGCATGGCCAGGTTTTGGTAGGTGGGGGGAGCTACTGGGCTGGCTTCTGTGGGAGGCTGCTAGAAGCTTCCCCCATGTCTGTCAGAGTCAATGCCAGCTGGCTCTAAGATGGACATGCCACTGGCCAAGGTCAAGCCAGAGAAAGTAACAGCATCTCTGTGATAACATATTTAAGAATGAAAAAAAGGCATTGTACAGAAGTAATTTTGGCCAGGGAAGAGAGGGGTGAGAATATGTGAGAAACAGCTCTGCAGACACCAAGGTCAGTGCAGAAGGAAGGGGAAGAGGTGCTCTAGGCACCGGAGCAGAGATTCTCCTGCAGCCCATGGTGAAGACTGTGGAGAAGCAGGCTGTTCCTCTGCAGCCCATGGAGGTCCACAGGACTGCTGAGATCCACCTGCATCCTATGGAGGAGCCCCTAATGCAGGTGGATCCCAAAGGAAGCTGTGACCACGTGGGAAGCCCACTATGGAGTAGGGTCCTGCTGACCTGTGAGGAGAGGAGCCCATATACTGGTAGGATTTGTGACCCCCTGGGGGACCTACATTGAAGCAGCCTGTTCCTGAAGGACTGCACCCCATGGAAAAGTGACCCATGTTGGATCAGTTCATGAAGAACTGTAGCCTGGGGCAGGGATCCCATGCTGGAGAGGGGGAAGGACTCCTCTCCCAGAGCAGTGGTAGAAGCAACTCGTGATGAACTGACTATAACCCCTATTCCCCATCTCCTTGCATTGCTGGGGGTGAGGAGGTAGAGTTCAGGAAGGAGGAAAGGGAGTCCAGGAAGGAGGAAGGTGTTTTTGAGATTTGTTTTACTTCTCATTATCCTGCTCTGATTTTGATTGGTGATAAATTCAATTAATTTCTCCAATGAAGTCTCTTTTTGCTTGTAACAGTAATTCGCGAGTGATCTCTCTCTGCCCTTATCTCCACTCATGAACTTTCCATCACATTTTCTCTCCTGTGTCCAGTTACAGAGGGGAGTGGCCGAGGGGCTTTGGTGGGAGCCTGGCATCCAGCCAAGGTCAACCCACCACAGCTGCACTGCACATTAGTCCCCAGAGCAGGGGAGAGAAGGGGCGAGAGGCAGCACATCCCTGGACACGGCCAGGGAGACTCTTCTAGGAGAGCCGCCCATCATAATACGATGGCTTCCTTTGACAGCAAGCTCCCTTTAAGGTTTTGTCTAATATGTGCAAGCACACAGCCCAGTTCCAGTTGTATTACTGTCAGAGGCATAAGAAAATTATGCATTCATCTGGCATTGCTGCTGCTCATCTGCTCGCTGCCTGCCAGCGCCTTTGCACTGATTTTCATCACTCAAACATCAGATCAGAGAAACACCAGCTTCACTATCTGAACCATGAAGCCCAACAGAATGACTGCTCAAGGTCTTGTGTTGCCTCAGGTCTTTAAGGAACTCAAGGAGGTTGAGTTCCAGCACCAGAGGGAGCTGGTCCCCAGGCTGCAGCACCCATCCTGCTCCCTGGAGCTCCCAAAGCAGTGTTCCAGAGAACTGCTGCTTCTGCAGCACAGGTATTGCACAGGACTGTCAATAACTCCTGTAGCTTCATTAGGGACATTTGCCTACATCAGCAGTAAGGCAGGGAAGGCTGCAGTGGAGGAGAGGAACATGGATTTTGGCAAAACCAGCACAGGTCTCGTGTTTCCCAAATAAGATTGTTAAGCGAATCTCAGACTGTGGATAGAGGAGCTTGAAAGAGATGACAGCGATACCTTCACAGGACAGCTGAATGGCAGCACAGATCAGTGCCCAGCCTTCTGCCAGAGAAAGAACTACATCTTTAAATGAAACATAAATCCCAGCCTCATATCACAGGCTGCTGTGATATGAGGCATATTATAAGCCTGAAGATACCCTCCAAAGGGTTCTTTTCCAAGGGCATATGCAATAATTTAAGTTGCCCAAATACATATCATTTGGTATATTTAGTACACCTATGTATATATGGTCTTTTAGGTTAACTTCATATTCCTCATTTACAAGCTAAAAACATGCTTACTTTATGACCAAGAATTCAGGTTTGTGCCTACGTGGTGTCAAGAGTGAGTTTATTGCAAAGTCTGGTGCGGAGAGAGACACTGAGCTCAACCCTTCCCAGCCCTGTGTGAATTAACGACGCGGCTGCTCTCCTGACTGCCTGTCCCTGCAGACACAGGCGAGGCTAATCCTTGGGATACCTTGGGATAACCACACAGAGCTCCAGGTTGCTCTGTGAGGTACACTTCAGCTTCTGTGAATGTTCACCACATAGCTGGCAAATCTGATCTGACAGTGACCTTGAGAGCACCTGAAGAAACCTGTCAGAGCCAGCAGCTCCAGCGGCAAACACAGCTCACCAGACCAGATATCTATACGTGTCACTGCTTTGAGGGACACCCCTCACTGGTACCAGCCAAAGGAACAGGAAAAGAGCACAGCCATCCTTCTAGAATATGGGCATAGACAAAGGAGGGAGCAGCCTCCAGCTACGACCCATCTGTTTAGGAGATGCCTGGGGAGCATTTCCAGACCAGAGTCTGGTTTCACGTGAGGAAATCATGCAGTTCTTACCAAAAAGAGCTCTATCTCTACAGCTGCCATTAGAGCTACAGCTCTGCCTGAGACACAACCCCACTCAAACCTGCTCACTTCCAGCATTTTTTCATTGCTACTTCAAGTCAAAAATGCCATGCAAAGCCACTCTGAAGAGCATACCATGCCCTACTTTAGCTGTAACTATGTCTTCTCTAATCTTGGCAAGACCAAATGCTACTATGTAGTTATTCATATGGCATTACAAGACTCAAAGCAGATGGATCTAATTTCAATAGGGCTAAATCTGGTAATTCACATATGAGATGCTGCACTGAAGACAGCAGGAGCTGGGAGAGGCAGCACTTAAGAACTAAGCTGTAAGAATTTCAAATCACACTTCCTACAACTACCAGGCCATGTGAAAAACCTCATCAACTGAAAGAGAAGAGTGTTGAACACAGGACACTCACAGGTAGCGCAGTCCGGTGCCAAGCAGCTGCTGCTGTAGGATCACTTGCACAGCTCCTGCGTGTCAGCAGTTCAGATGCACTTAAGTTACTTTTGGTCCTTCGGGACCCCAGTTCAGGGGCACTCCAAGAATTAGCTGTGGCACGGGTCCTTGCTGAGGTCTGCTCCAGGGAGTCTGTTCTTGCACTATTCCCTTCCACTTCGGAGAGGTCCACTGAGGACCTACACAAGTTTGTGGTACTGGAAGCTGCACTTTTTTCCACTTCAGTTTGAGAGTCCTCCAGGGACTGTAAGCCTGGTCTCGTTCTCCAGGAACTTCTCACAGCGACATGCTTTGTTTCAGATGAAGCTGCATCTGAAGAGCCGTGGCTCTTCCAGCTGATTGTCTCTGCAGGCAGTTCACTGTTTCTCTCTGTGAGTTCAGAAGTCTTTAGCATAATGCTGCTTCTGGAGACCACCGTTTCGGCTTTATTCCTCCGCACTGCCTCTCCACTTCTGTCCACCTCAGATAATTTCAGAGCACTTTTATTAATCGATACCTCGAAGGGTGTGGGGACACTGTTTGTTATTGATGGTGAAGGCTCATTTGAGGCTGCTCTGATGTTGCTGGTGGTAACATGCCTTTCCTTTCCTGCTATATCTGCAGTGGTCCTTGGAGCTGTTGGCTCAGAAGGGAAGATTGTGATGCTGCTTGTCATTTTATTTGTTACCATTTTAAAAACAGACTTCTGTTTTTCTGACTCTGCATCCGAAACAGTCCCTCCCATGACTGCCTTCATATCCTTCTCAACAATTGCAGGTTTAATAATGGCTTTTGATCTCAAAGCTTCTCTCGGGCTGAACGACCTCCTGGATTTCAATCCTCCAGTGCTCGCATCTGATGGTTTTATACACTTGGTGGAGTCTTCATCATTTACAGCGTTTTTCTCATTCTCAAAAAGCGATGCTCTAAAAACTCCTCTAGAATTGGAGAACTGCTTGGAACTGACTTTCTTTCTTGTCTCAAAATCTGACTGAGTGGTTGTTTTTTTGCCTCTTCCTGATTCTTCATCTGAATTAAGCTTTTCCTGGTTACTCTGGATGGTCTTGGAGTCAGTTTTTAAACCCCTATTCACGTGATCTGTTGCTGAACTTGCAGACTGCTCTGTGTCTTCTTTATCAAGACCTGTGAGAATCTGCAGAATGTCTTCCTGACTCTTGGAGCGATGGGAACACTTTGTTAGCATTGAAAACTTCACACCTTCAAGCGATGTGTCTGTGACTTCTTTTTCCTGGGAGATTATTGCCCTTTTAGCCCTCCCCTCCAAGGGCTGTCTGTGTGATGCGGCAAAAGTGTTCACTGCTTCTACTTTGGAGCCAGCAGAGTCTGAGGCTGACACGTGGGAGGACAGATGGTACCTGTATGCCGAAGCTGTGCCGTTGGAAGAGGTGTGGTTACCCCTCGTGAGCTGCGTGTCCCCTGTGACTTCAGCCTGGCTTGTTTTCAGCTTCTCAGCCAAAGAAACTATTGATTCTTCTTTGCTTGACTTTTCATCCCGTGTGTCAGCTCCATTTTGGCAGCTGCCACGGAGCACCTGAGAAGGCTTTTCAGCCTTGGATCTCAGGCTTGTGTCGCCAACAGGTTTAGAAGGCGCTTTCCAAGACTTCTGCTCCTGTGCAGCAGGAGGGTATCGGCTGAGGACAGACGGCTGCTCTTTGGATCTCTTCCCCTCATTCTGCATGACGCTGCCTTCCTTCTGACCAAGAGAAATAGTGGAAACTAAAGATTTATCTTCCAGTCTTTTGGTATCTGCGACAGCAGTGTCTGAAAGGGCAGATGCACCAGATGTTTTTCCCGCTTTTCTGTTCATTAAGGAACTGGGTACCTGCTTACCACCATGGCTGTAGCTGTCATTACTGACAGAGAAGTCTCTGTTCCGAGCTCTGTCCCGGCGCTGCTGCGGCGAGAGCTCCCTTGGCTTGTGCTTGGCCGCTGTCAAATCAGCTGGGACACCTCTGTATTTAGGTCGGTCATGTTTTCCCCTGCTGGAAAAGCTTGTATCTTCATTTTCAACCTCTCCATTCTCCAGATCTTTCTGTTTCTTTATTTGCATTTTTATTTCTTCTAGCTGACCTGTTAAGAGTTTGTTTTTATTCTGTTCACTCAAGTAACTGTCTTGCAGGTCATTGTTTTTGGCTCTTACTTTTTTAAGTTCTTCTTCTAAAGATTCAAAACGTTTGATCTGAGTTTTAAGTTTCTCAATTTCTTGGGTGAGATCTTTCACTTTGTTGTCTTCCTGGTTTTTATTCTTTTGGTTTTCTGATTTATTTCTGGTTTCATTTTCTACATGTTTCAGGTAATCCACACTTCCCTTCCTCCTGGTCTCCTTAGAAGGCAGTGCAGAAGTCAAGTCATCTTCAATTCTCAAATCATTTCTGTCCAGGAGATTGTTGGATGACCTTTCTAGCAAGTTGGAAGCATTTCTAGTTTGATCTGCTCTATTTAGTTTATTGTTTTGTTCTAGTTTCTGTGTTAGCTCCTGGATTATTTTTTCATTCTGCTTTTCTCTTTCATTAAAGTGTTTTCTTTCTGTGATAAAGCTCAGAGCCAAGGATTTCAGCTTTTCTAGCTCACCCGTTAAGCTCTGCTCAGTTTTATCCAGTCTGTCCTCAGATGCTTCCAGTTCTTTCACTTTCACTCTAAGTATTTCTAATTCTGTAGATATCTTTTTGGTCAAGTTCTTTTCTTCATTGAGGCTAAGACATAGCTGTGTGCAGTCGTTCTTGCTCCTCCCGAAGGCCTCCTCCAGCTTCTCCAGCTCTGCCATTCTCCTCTGAAGGTGTTCAATTTCTGACTTCAGCTCTCGAGTGAGGCTCTCCTCCTCTTCAAGTTTTTCTTTCATTAATCTGCAAAGCTCTTCAGCCTTCCTAATTTCTTCATCCTTGCCTTCAATCTTCAGGACTCTTTTCCGCAGGGCTTCGATGTCAGCCAGCATGCTGGAGTTGCTGCCTTCTGCCTGGATAACTTTGTCCTGGAGGTCAAGCAGTTCATCCTCTGCCTTCTGCAGATTTTTGGTTGCTTCCTCCAGTTCATCAAGGCGGCGACTGAGGCTCTGCAACTTGAAACGTAGGTGCCGATTGGAGGTTTCCTTGTAACCTGTAAATTCTGCCATGTTTATTTTATTTCTTTCAGGTGAAAGCTTTGCTTAGTCTGGGTGAACAGTAGAGACCTTGTGTATTCCTGGTACGTTATCGTTCCTTTGAACAGAGGCAATCTCACTCTGAAAGAAAAAATGTTTGAAATCAGTACAAGAGCTCAGAATATAAAATATTCTCAGTATGTAAGTTTGACTATAAATGTTCATATAAATAACTTCTTAATTAAACATATTTCTGAGTGCTGAATTCAGAGAAATGAAACTGCAGAGAAGACTACCAGTCCATTTACTTTGGTTATACAGGGTTTCCAAAAATAGCCTGCTCCCAATATCTGAGGGCAGGAAGTGCCCTCCCCTGCTGGTCTGCACAGGCACTTTGTGCACTACCAGCGGATTCTCACCCAGGGCTCCACAGTCAGTGTGGCTGTCTATGTGCAAGGTCCCAGGCTGCAGAGGGTCATGCAGGACTCAGGTCCCTGTACATGGACATGCCCACGCAGCAGACACCTCTCTTTTCAGCACTGCACCAGCCTCCTGAAGACACCTTGCTGAAGGAGATTCAGGATTTCAGAACCAGAAAAATGCAAGCCCCAGCCATGTGGTAACCATTGAGGAGGGGACAAGCCCCCCATGATGGCTTGCAGTTGGAGGGATTGGGAGCTGCTGCCATTCAGCACTGCCCATCACTGCCAGGATTTCTCCTGCATCCTTGGCTGCTCAGCAGAAATCTTCCCCTGGGTTGTAGTCACATCCCAAGGACACTATGCCAGTGGAGTTTCAAGTTTCTCCCTCCTGTTTCAAAAGCTGTCATTGCCCTCGCTTGCCACCCACTCACCCACCCAGGAGACAAGCAGTTGCTTACACCTCTCCTTGCTGCTGCTGAGAGCAAGCAGTGATTAGAACACACTGGCACACTCTTGGTGTACTCAGTGTGAACTCTTCCCGGCTCAGCTCAGAGCTGGTAGGATATTTTTTAAACAGCCCCTCTGTTTGGGGCTTGGCAGGTACCAGCAGGGAAGGGGCCCTGGCCATACCAGAATGACCACTAGGAAGATATGAAGTTCCCCTTTGGCAATCAGCATTACCACCATCCTGTCCATCCAGTGAGTGCCAGGGCTACTGCAAATGTGAGGAGAGGAAGGGTGACTGCATCAGCTCTTTGACCTATGCCCTTGCTCAGGCTGGCTGCCTTGGAGTGGGACTTGACCTCCAGAATTTTTGTGGAGCTCTCTGCAGAGGAAACTCTCAGGAGTTTCCTATTTCACAGTGCCAAGAAGCAATGAGCAGGATGTGGGGAGGAGACAGGGTTGGTAAGGGAGGCAGCAGTGCCCTAATACATATCCTTGGGCTGGAGATGATCTGTTTCCAGAGAGGCAGAGGGGCCTGTGCTGCAGACAGGCACCTGCCATGCGGGCCATGGAGGTACTCCTGGTGCACACCAGGCACCCTTTGACCCATCCCCTGAAGAACCTCCCTCACTCGGGGGGGGGGGGGGGTCACCAACCTATTTGGTTGATCTCACGCTCCTCAGGTACCTACCTGAAAGGAGCACTCCAAAGAGTACCTGGAGAGGAACCTCGGCGTCCTGTGCGCAGCTTTGGCCACGTGTCTGTCCCCTCCCCCACCACCACAGCCACGTCCTGCTCCTGGACAACCCTCTCTCACGCTGTCCACACACCGTGAAGGCCTCATGGGCCACAGGCTCACTGTGCAGCTGCCTGCAGGCAGGAAAGGCTGCTCGGAGCCAGCAGAACCCCACGAGAAACGTCACCAGCACAGCACAGGAAAGGCCAGGGTGAGCAGCTTCGCAGTGCCCTGAAAACAAAGCAGGCCTAGGAGCTGGGAGTTAATGGTTAACCTGGCATCAGCTACCAGATGGGAAGGGAGGACAGGCAGGAGTGTGATGGAGGCAGACCCACACAGGGCTGGCACGCAGCACTGGTAGGCTGTGTAGGTGTGCAGATCAGTGTGCAGTGCTGACTTTGGGACGGTGCTGGTGTGCTGAGCAGCTGTGCAGGGCTGGTTTCCAGCCAAAGCTGGGCCACAGCTCCCACAGGGCATTTCTGCAGAGCTCAGGGGACAGAGCTGCATGTGGCCCACAAGAGTCTTGCCAGCTGGGACAGGGTGACTTTGGCTACAAAGCAACAGGCTCCTCACCAAACACAGACCATGGTGGCTCAGCAAGTTCTGCTACCTCCACAGGCAGGTGGACAAAGGGGCTGTTCTTCCCTTTTGTCATGGTTTTGCCCAGCCGGCCAGCCCCTGGGGCTGAGAATGGTTTTGTCCAGGTGAAGTTCCAGACAAGAAGCCAATTAAAACTCTCAGTAACGCCTTTGCTAATTACATATTTAAGAAAACGGAAGAGAAGGGGATTGCGCAGTTGAAATTAAGAGTAGCAGCCATGTAGGAGGCGGCGAGCTCCGAGTGGGGGCTAGGCCCCCTCCTACCCTGGCCCTAGGCTAGGGGTAGGTGTAGCACTGAAACTCCCCCTTCTCTTCTGTAAGAGAGTGAAGAAAAAAAAACTTTATAAGACAAACTGCTTGGACAGGAACTACGGCAGAAGAATTCCGGCAAAGAGATAACGGAGTATCCAAGGTCAAAACTGGCAGCCGGAGGAGAAAGAAGAACTGTGCAAAAGGGGGCTTGTTTCTCCCCCTTTTTTGCTCTCTCCCTTCAGCAGGGAAAAGACTGAAAAGTAATCCCTGCTACCTGTGGAAGTTTGTTGGGGTGAGGAGACCCCCCCATGCAGCTCACAGAGGAGCTCGTAGATGATGTACCAGGAAGCCGAGACTTCATGAAAAGGACTGAGATGAAACAGAGTCCTGTTGGAGATTTGTGACCCTGAGAAACCCTCACGCTGGAGCAAGAATGGCTCAGGTGAGATGTGGGGGATCCAAGTAAGGGATCCATGCTAGACCCATGCCGAGAAGTCTATCAAGGACTGTTCTCCCATGGGGAGGGACCTCCATAGGGAACAGGGGTGAACTCTTAAGCCATTATCCCTGGTAACCCTGTGGAAGAAGATCCATAGTAGGCAAGTGTCCCCTTGCAAGCCTATGGAAGGAAAAACCTTCAGAACCGGGGTAACCCCCCAGCCTCTGGTCTTAGCCCAGGAGGGGGTTAGGCCCAGCCCTGGAGGCCGACACAGAGTGGGAGAGAAATGAAAGAATTCCAGCTGTGACGAGAGTGCTGCAGAGTTATTGGAGAGAGTATGGAGAATGAGACTGCTTCTCCTCCTTGGACTGATATAAAGAGGGGAGAAGTATTTTTGTAAATACATAACACTTTTACTTAAGTAGAAATTGTTGTAGATCTAATTCTTTAGTTTTTAACTTGTTAGTAGTTTTTATTTTGCTAGTAATAAATGCTCATACTATTTTCCCCAAATCCAATCTCTTTTGTCTGCATAAATCTTCTCTCAACTAATAGTAATTGTGAAGGGTGTGAAAGCAAATTGACCCAGGGCAAAACCACGACACCTTTCCTCCCTCTTCTCCGTTCCAAACAATCCCGCAGCATCAGCTGCCATCCGGACGGAGTAGGACCCTGCTCTCACACCCTTGGTGACCTGGGGAAAGCCCCATCATGGAGGCCAGAAGAGTGACCTTGTCCTGAAAACAACAAGCTTCTGCAGATAAGAAGAAACAATCACCGTGGGAGGTGACCTGGGGTGGTCCAACACAGATTCCACCAAGAAGGAAAGGGGTTATGGGCACAGATCCCTGGGACAGGACCCGGTATTGCTGGTGATCCACCTATCTTGTTGCTCCATCAAACCATGCTCCTAAAGTTGGTTCCTACAGTCTGGACCACAGCTTATAACACGCTTTTGTATTTGCACAGGATAAAGCTGAGTGAAGACCTGGCTGTGGGCCATGGGTCAGGATTTAGATCCTCTGGCTACGTTGTCCCAGCTCACGGGTCATAAGGAGGAGAAGAGGGATGTTGGGACTAAGTTACTGATCTCTGTGTATGTCAGAGGCTACTCAGAGGAGAACCTGATTTAGGAGGAAACACTCAAGTTTTCACATGATGCAGATAATTAAACTCAACAGTTGATGGTATGAATGAATTACCTGAGATGTCCCTCAGGGGCTGATGAAGTTCAATGTCTTTATTAATGACAGAGATGATGGGATGCAGCCTGTTCTCATCAAGTTTGTGGATGATACTGGACTGGGAGGTGAAGGGGAGCAGAGCTGATATGCTAGAGGGCAGGGCTGCTATTCAGAGGGACCTTGGCAGGCAGAAGAAAGGGATGGACAGCCACCTCAGCAAAATGCAGCCCAAGTCCTGTCACTGTGGCACCAGGACAGGCTGGGGATTATGGCTGGAAATCCGCTTCACAGGAAGGGATCTGGGGAGTCCTGAGGAGCCGAACAGAGGTCAACAGTGTGTTCTTCTGGCTAAGAAGGCTAACCATGTGCTGTGTCAGCACATGCACAACCAGGTCGAGGGACTCAGAGCTCCACTAGAGATGGCCCTGGAACTTGCCAACACCTTCCCAGCTTACATGATTTGCTGCCAGAGATGAAAGAGGCTCAATCTAATTAGCTTAACAAGGAGAAGAAAGAGATGTAAAGCAACATTTTCTACAAAAAAATAATACTGAGAAGGATCCATGAGATGTCTCCCAGCTGAAGGCCCTTTAACTTCTTGGCATAGACAGAAGTAACCTCAGTGCTTGGAAATAGAACCCGAACAAATCAGTTTTAAAATAAATTGCACACTTATAAGATTGAGGGGAATCAGCTATTGTAAAATATTATCTTAGATGTAGTGGCCACTTAAGGCTGGTCAGGCTTTGAGTTAGGGCTCAGATTAGAGACCTTTAGGGGTACTTTCAACCGAAACTATTCTGGCTGTTCATGATGGTTGTTATCCAGTCTGTCACCGATACTGAAGTATCAGAAGGAATTCAAACACTGGGACTATTGTTAATGCTAATTAATATTGCTGTCAGATGTTTAACAGGAGCTGTTAAATAAATCTGATAAAGCTTGTAAATGTACTGAACAATCTGACATGGATGTATGGAGTTCATGCTCTCATTTTTTGAAAAGGGAGCAGTTCCTTGCCTAGTTCTAGTTTAGCATTTTAGAGAAACAAACAAACAAACAAAC